CTGCAGCGTAAGGGGCACACACCTGCGGGGGCAGGTGCTCCAACGCCTCCTTTTCAGTCCTGGTCTTGTCTCCTTCCATCCTGGCGCCGCCCTGGCCGCCTTTGTCGGCGGGGACTGAGGAACAGGGGGTCTGCCTGGGGCTTCAGACACGGCTTGTGGGGACTGGGTTGCCAACGGCCTGGTACCTCCATGGGGCTGGCACCAACGGGGTTCTTGCTTCTTGGGTAGAGGAGTCTAGGAAGAGCTGTGCTGATAATATTTAAACTCAAGATCAAGTTCTGAGAGTTGTTTCGTTTTTGTTTGTTTTTCTGTTTGGGGGCCGCATGCGGAGGTGCTCAGGGGTGATTCCAACTCTGCACTCAGGAATCACTCCTGGCAGTGCTCAGGGAATGCCAGGATTGAGCCCAGGCTGGCTGCTGTAAGACAGATGCTCTGCCCGCTGTACTATCACTCCGGTCCCTAAAATTAAAACTGGGGGCGGGGGACGGGAGCAGGCATGCCACCTGGCAGTGCTCAAGAACTGCTATTTGCTTGGTGATCAGAGCTACTCCTGGTGGTGCTCAGGGGATCCTGTGGTTCAGAGGGTGCCCAGCCCACTGAGCTCTCTGCAGGCCTGACCGAGTCATTAAGTGACACTTTCCACCTAATGCCTTGCACACAGGCCCTGCCACCTCCTGCCCGGAGAGCACTCTTGCCTTATTCGGCTCTTAGAGTTAGCCCGCCTGGGATGGATAAACGCTCTGGCTTCCCCAGACGCTTTGCACATCAGCGGTTAGGAGACGGGCACGGAACCGGGGGTCGTCTTAGCCCCTGTTGCTGATTCTACCCCTGCGAGGGGCCAGGCCAAGGCCATGGCTTGCGGGAAAATAGCTCGTCAGGCTTCTCTCCTGGGCCCCACACTCTGGCTTGGACCCCACCCCCCGCCCAATTTCAGAGGCGGCCTGAGCCCCTGGAGAGTGTGGGTGGGAGGGGGCGAGTCCCTATCCAGGGTTGGTCCCAAGTCAGGTCTCTGCAGGGCATGGGCAGCCGCCTGGCATTTCCCCTTTGACCTGATGCAACTGTGATAACGGGGAGGCGGGTTTCAGCCCTGGCACCCCGGGCACCTGAGGGAGCCCCGTGCCAGCAGGGCTTCATCCAGCACTGCTGGGGGTCTCTCGTGGGACCTCAGAAAGTTTCCCACCTGCCTCCAAGACTCAGCCTGGAGATTTCTCACCAAGGGTGAGATTTGATGCCCAGGGCCAGGCAGCAGCAGCGGAAGGTGACGCTGACATGGGGAAGGGACTCTGGTGACCTGGAGAGCACCAGCTGTCACTGAGCAGCTCCCCAGGGTCTCCACAGCCCAGGCGTGGCAACACACACACAAACACACTCACACACATTCCTGCACACACGCACATTCACACATGGACACACAAACACACACAGTCACGCACATGTGCACATTAGCACATGCACACATACATACACACCCATGTGTACACACGCATGCAGGCATACACACGTATTGCACACACCCCTGCGCACACACACGTATACACACACGTACGCTGCCACACGCACACACGCACGCGAATGACCGCCAGCTGCTGCGTGAGATCGCAGAAGGTGTCAGCCAGCATCAGGGATCAGCCATCTGTCATGTGCAGGCCCCGTTTCAGACAGAGAATCGGCAGACCAAGCAACCCAGGTCTTCTTTGTGGAACTGACTCTCCAGTGGCGAGAGGATACAGGAAGCGGATTTGTAAGCCCAGAGCCGCAGCAAAAACCTGCAGGGCAGAGAGAGCCAGGAGGAAGGATGGCGGGGATATGGAGGGGGCCTTGTGACGGCCAGGAAAAGGCTGCCCTGGTGGTGAGGCCTGCAGGTGCCAAGGTCCAGGGGTGGGAGAGGGCCTGACCTGTGTAGGGGAATGTTCTCAGTGCCAAAGTGTTCTCAGCGTCAGGGGCACAGGGGTCACTGCCTGATGGGGTGTTTCCGGGAATGGTTCTCAAGGCTGAGGCGTGGGGGGTAGGGGGGTATTCGCAGGAGCCATCGGGTCAGTGTTGTGACGGTGGTGGAGGTGGCGAGAAGGGTCAGTTCCTGGATGCATTGGGAAGGTGGAGGACCTTGGGTCGTGAGGCGAGAGAGGAGGAGGCAGCGCCCAGGACAGAGATGCCTTGCAGGTGTGGGGAGGGTGGTGGCCCCGGCAGGCCCAGGGTGCAGAGCAGAATAGGAGGGACATGGGACCGGAGGGGCTAGTGCTGGGCTGCCTCTCTGGTTTCTGGAAGGCCCCAGTTAGGTGGGCTGAGGGGACATCGTCACATGCCCATGGCGTGACAGCTGGAGGATGGGTAGGCGCCCCAGAGAGGCTGAGCGGAGCAGGGCCCCGAGGCCACCCCCATCTGAGCACAGAAGGAGACGCAGGCAGAGACCGGGCAGGCCTGGGGCGGCTGCAGAGCTAAGGAAAGACAGTGGGTGAAGGAGGAGACTTTGCACGCAGACGCGGCTGACGGCGGGCACAGGGGGCTTTGCCCTCGGCCCGGGGAGCTTGTGAGGGGCTTAGGGGGAGGATGGGCAAGAGCCTGGGCGGTGGGGGGGCAGTGTCAGGGGCACAGGGGTCACTGCCTGATGGGGTGTTTCTGGGAATGGTCCAGCGAGGGGTGGCCTTCTTGTCCTCCCTTTCTGTATGGTGGGAGGAAGGATGACGCCTGTGCTTGCAAAAGGGGACCCTGGGAGCCACGGCCACTGTGGTCTATGGGCTGGGTGCGGGGGCACAGCCATGCTGGCTTGGTCCTTCACGTTCTGCACCTGGACTCTCCAGGACGGTGGGTGCAAGGGGTTCTGGCGTACACCCTGGTCTCCCAGGCTCCGATGGTCACTGACTGGCTCCCGCTGGGAGGGCTTGGGGGTCCCAGGCAGCAGGGGGATCTCTAGAGGAGGAGGTCGGTGGGATGGGGGGGGCAGAGCCAGGCGGGCAGTGCTGTTGGGAAGGGGCACAGGGTATGCGGAGTGAGAACGTGCGAGAGCACGAGACGCTGTGCAGGCCGGGCTGGCCTCGGGGATCGTGACCTGACTCCGAGGGAGGCTGGGGCTCCGGCCCACGTGTCGCTCTGCTCAGGTTCGAGAAGGGGCAGGCGCCCAGCGAGGGTTGCCCCTGGCATGAGAGCTGGGCGGGGCGGGAAGCGGAGCTCAGGAGCTGGGCTGAGGGGGTGGACGGCGGGGATGGAGCCTGGGGTCGGAGGGCAAGTCGTGTCTGAAGCAGGCCTGTGTCATCTGTGTGTCATCTGCCCTTTTCAGAACCAAGCTCTGGGGCTGGAGGAAGCTCAAAGGGCCGGGGGCCGGAGTGACAGCACAGCGGGTAGGGCATTTGCCTTGCACGCGGCCGACCCGGGTTCGATTCCCAGCATCCCATATGGTCCCCCGAGCACCACCACTGGGAGTAATTCCTGAGTGCATGAGCCAGGAGTAACCCCTGTGCATTACCGGGTGTGCCCCCCCAAAAAATAAATAAATAAAAGAAAGAAAACTCAAAGGGCTAAGCTGTGCTGGAAGCCCAGGTCCAACAGCCGTCCCACATGGTCCCCTGAGCAGCCCCCTGAGCACTGAGCCAGGAGTACTCCCTGAGCACCTCTGGTGCAGAGCAAAAAAATAACGAGTGAGAAAGAATAATCTCTGACTGGGCCCAAACAGCGCTTCCAGGGTGAAGGGAGCGGCCTTCCACGTCTCTGTCCCGTACCCCTCAGTTGTCTCCTTGTCCTGAGTCCTCTCCTGGGACCTGGACTCCCCCACTTCCTCCCTCAGCCCCCACCCTGAGTCCCACAGCCCAGGTGCATCTGCCCCAGGACGCTCCTCAGACGTTGCCCAACCAAACTCTTCATCTCCCCACAGCCTGACTGCGCTGGGCAGGTCCCGTTCCCCTTTCCCACCCAGTCCCTCCTGAGGTCTGTCTGTCACCTTCCCTTAAAAAGCTTCTCTCCATCACAGGGGCTGGGCCGTGGCCCAGACCACCCTCACCCCTCCTTGGACAGGGACCGTGTGGTCGCCGCCCGTGAGGACTCGGCCTCCAGCCGTTCTCCAGGGCAGCTGCAGTGGCCCAGGCAAGCTGGACTCACGGGCCCCTCCGGGCTTTCACACCCTCCAAGGCCCCTTCCCTGGGCCCGAGGCCCCCCTTCTCACACTCGGCTCTCAGTGTCTGGGCCCCTGGGCGGGTCTGAGCTGTTTTCTTGCACGCGGCGGTGCTAGTCCCTCTATTGATCGCGTTGTCTTGCCCGCAAACCCGCAGGGGATCTGCTGTTTCTCTCTGCACCAACCTCCCCATCCTTTCGGGGGCCCAGGGAGGGACGGTCCCCAGCTCAGGGCTCCAGACCTGCCTCTCACCCGGGCATGGGCACCCCTGTTCCCCTCTGCGCTGCGCCCCTGCCCATCCCCAGGTAGTGGCCCCAGCTGCTCAGACCAAGAAATGCCTCTGTGTGCTTTGGGGACATACTTCCGGTCACTCCCACAGGCATGGCAGCCCCCGAGGTGGGGAGGGGTCTTGGTCTGTGGGTTGCCTCCCCTTTGGTGCCCTCCAGGTTGACTTGACGGGCTGGTGGGGGAGCTGAGGGCCTGCGAGGCCCCCTTTCCTGCCCCATCCCTCCCCTATTCCTGTGAGTGACCCCAGAGGAACAGAAGTGACCGTCCCTGCCCCTGGCACCAAGGAGCCCAGACCTAGACAGGAAGCAATTAGCAGAGAGCCGAGAAAAAACGGTCATTGTACCCCAGCGTGGGGGGTGCGGGAGGTGGAGGCTGAGCAGGGATGAGGGGGGCCTGGGCTTGGGGTTAATTTCTCTCAGAGCCCATGGCAGACCCGGGCCAGGACAGGGCAGTCTTCATGCCTGCTTCTTATTATCCAGCGCCAGTGGCCACTCTGATTCAGGAACCGTCTGCTGCCCCCTGCCCCTGCCCGCCGTGGCCTCCGATCCCCGACCCACCCCCGGGCACCTCTACGTCCCCACTGACCGCTCTCCTCTGTCCCCTCATGCAGAAATGGAAGCTTCACTCACGGAGACGCCGGGAGGCGACGACGCCATCTGTGGGGTGCCAGTGCCCGCCAGGTAAGGAGCCCCCGGGCATGGGTGACCAGGAGGGGGGCGCACCCGGGGGCCCCGCAGACCACCACTGGGTTTGAATGACAGGAATGAGGTGTGTGGTGCGTCCCTGCACATGCTCAGCCACCGGTGGACCCAGCCTATCCCCTTTGTCCGATTGCCCAGAAGCCCTCCGATGGCTCTGACCTGGTGGACCCCAAACTGGTCACTCTGCCAAGACAGTGGACATGCTGCAAATCATGCAGAGTGGACGCGGGGGCGTGGGGGCAGGACCTGGCGGGTCACCCTGCTGCAGGGCCCTCAGCAAGGGCTCATGTCCCTAGTGGGCCAATGACCCGGTACCTGCCTGTAAAGCCTCACCTGCCCTTGGTGGCTGGGGGATGGGGGGTGGGGTGGGCTGCAGGCCTCTCGCACACACGCCCATCATTCGGGGTCCGAGGTGGGAAGCAATGCGGGGTGATCGTGTGCACCGACTGTTCTGTTTCACTGCACAATTGCCGCTGGTTTATGCTAGATCTCTCAGCACACAGTGGGATGTGACCGTGATTTGTTTGTTTGCTTTAAATCATTCTTGTATTTTAAAAAATGGAGTGCGAGGAGAATGTGGTGGAATCGGGGAGTCTGGATTCAGCATTTGCAACTTCCTTGGCCTGTTTGGTCAGTTCACAACCCAGGATGGGCTTCCTGGTCCTCTGTTCTGCACTTCACGGTGGACTGTGTGTCTGGCCGTTGGGCACCGGACACATGTCAATGGTTCTGTCCATGGTCAGTCCTCACGGGGACCTGTTTGCTGGACGTTGTTCTGGAGAACGGCAGTGCTATAAGGGCGGGAGAGTGTGTGTCCCGCGAGGAAGTGGTGACTGGCGTTCTGGTGGTTGCAAACGGCTCCGTCCTGCTGCCGCGCTCAGCAGGGCCCCTCAATTTTCTTAGTGGGCAGGAGGTGTGGACTCTCACTGTGCACAGTGGCCCAGGGGTTTTCAGAGCCCTCCCCCAGGGTTCCCAAGGCAGGGAAGAGAGGCGACAGATGTCAACAGATGCGGAGCATCTGGGATGAGGAGAAAGCTCCTCTCTGGAGAGTGAGGGAGCCCAGGGGGAGTCACTGGTTGTGCCCGGGGAGGCAGAGCCGCCGGGACAGGATTCAGCTGGCCCCAATTAGAAAAGGGTCATCCGGGTTAATTGAAAGGTGTCCAGAAGCCCTGGGAAGCTTCCTCCCTCAGCCAGCCATGGGTTGGAGTCCTGGGGTCTGGAAGAGCTTTTGGGCAAACGCCCAGATCAGTGAGAAAAGAAGAGGGAGGTGGGGTGCGGCTGGCACCGGCGTTTCCCAGAGTTGCATCTGTCGTCCAGGTCACTCAGTCAGCTACCGCCATTCCAGCTTGAGTATAAGTGCCGATGGAGGCATGGGAGAGAGGGGTTCGAGCCCCAGCCCCTGCCCATGGCATGTGGGGACCCACAGTGAATTCTTGACTCCATCTCAGGTGCCTAGTCTGGAAAACGGGCAAAACGCCCGGCCAGCGGTTTGGTGTGGAGATTCCTGGGGAGAAACTTGCAGAGCACGGAGCCCCTCTCTGACGGTGATCATGACTGGGATTTGTGGGCCCAGAGCTCCGAGGATTGACATCCAACTTTGCACGCAGAAGCCCAGTGTTCGATTCCTGCCACGACATGGTCTCCTGCGCACCGCGGAGAGTGGTCCCTCGGCACAGTCTAGGAGAGAAGCCCCCCCAGCACCGCCAGATGCGACCCCCAGACAAACACGCCAGACAGTGGTTAAATGTTGACATTTGGGTCTCCCAGGGTTGCTTTCCCGTCCACCCCCACCCCCGGAGCTTGGTGGATATTGTGGTTGTGGTGCTTAGGGGTCAGTCACACATTTGGTGGGGATGTTTATCCGGGCTCCTTATGTTTTAATTGTGATGCTCGCACACATACCCGCGGGAAACTGAACCCCTTTCATAGGGTGGGGGTTCAGGGGCACGTGGAGATTCTTGGACCTTCAGCTCTTCAGCTCAGGGGTCTGAGCATATGAGCTAAAGGAGCCCCACAGTGCCAGGGACCTCAGGCCACCCTGGTGGTGCTCCAGGGCTGCACCCAGAGATGTCAGAGCTGGAGGGAATGACGTGAGGCCGGGAACTGAACCCCGTAAAGAGCCTGCAGACATGCAGCTCAGCGTTATACTATCTCCTGGCCCCCCTTAAAAAAAAGAAAAGAAGTTCAGGCTGGAGTTCTGGTACAGCAGGGGACATGCCTGACCCAAGTTCGATACCCAGCTTCCCAGCAGGTTCCCCACGTTTCACCAGGAGCGACCCTTAAGTGTAGAGGAAGGGTACCACTGGGTGTGGCCAAAAACAAGAAAATCAAAGACAATCAAGATGGTCCCCCTTCAGGGCCAGAGCAGTAGCTCAGCAGAGAGGGCGTTTGCCTTGCACGCAGCTGACCTGGGTTCAATCCCCGGCATCCCGTATGGTCCCCCAAGCACCGCCAGGAGTGATTCCTGAGTGCAGAGCCAGGAGTAACACCTGTGCATTGCCGGGTGTGACCCCCCCCAAAAAAGATAGTCCCCCTTCCCTTCCTTCTGTTTCTCGATGCTGTTTTTGAGATGACTATAATCTCCCATGCACGGGATGTGGTGCTGTGTGCGTGGTGCATACACACACTACACATATGCACACACATGCACATATACCTGTGCACACATGCATCTACATACATGTATATACACTTGTGAACATGCATGCACACACACGCACACTTGTACACACATGCACACGTGCACAGACACACACATACAAGTCCATAGAGCTCCCATTCTCGACTGTGGGGCTCCTGGGGCGTGCACACATTTTGTTAGTTGTGGCACTCCCACCCCACGCGTGCTCACGGGGGTCCCCTCCTTCCTGAAGTGCTCAGACATCTTTACTTGCAGACTTGTGGAGTCACGGTGGGGCAAGTGCTGAGTTTGGGTTTTCCCTCGTGCCTCCCGGGCGCCTAGTCACACACAGGGGAGCAGCCAGAAGGCACAAGAGTCAAACCCCGGGTCTGATGGTCGCACTGGGAGCCCCTGAACCACCTCCGGGGCGGGGGGGCTCAAACCCTTCTGTGGTGGTGCTTGTGCACAGAGCTTTGGTGGCACGGCTAAGGGGGCTGTACCCTTGGTCGGGGTGCAGGGGATCCCAAACAGCACAGTCACGTGCTCGCACTGGGGCATGTGGGCAGTGTCTGACCTCAGGGCCTCAGGCTCTCCAGGGACCCTCCACCAGGGGATGTTTCAGAAGAGGCGCCCGACAGAGGCGGAGGGGGAGGTGGGGATGCCCGCAGAGAAACTCTAGATGAACCTGGCAGAGGAGGCTCAGACAGTGGCAATGAGGAGGGCATGCCCATCAGTCCGGTCCCTGTTGCTCTGCCTCCTGGGCTCTTCCCGCTGCCCCCGAGTGACCTCCCCACCCCAGAGCCCGCGAGCCCAGTGCCTGCCAACTTGTCCTGAGCAGCGGCAGTCACTCTGCGCTGGACACACTGCCCTCCTCCCTGAGCACCTACCCACTGGGCACGGGCACAGCCCAGAGCATCACTGGTACCAGAGCCAGCCCTGCCCCCACCCCTCAGCAGAGCCCTGGATTCTGATGTCCTGAATCGTTTGCTGGCCGCCAACTCGTGAGTGTAACGCCCCCGGTGTTCTCGGACCTGGTTCCGTCTCGTGTGGGGACTTAGGCCGGGAATCGCTGGCTTCCTGAGCCTCCCTCGGAGGGACTCAGCACGAGGTCAGAGTATGGCTGACACGTGCCTCGTGTCAGACCCTGTGCCATAGCCTCTGGGTGGACACAGCTTGTGCCCGGATGTGCAGTGACTGGTCAGTCGGAGGCCCCCCGAGCTGTCCCTGAGCGAAGGGATTCTCTCGCTCTCCATTCATGCTCGGTTGGCTTCTCATCCTTCCTTGATGCTGCCCTCGGTCTTGCCCTACTGTCAGAGTGCTCACACGCGTGCACACACACACATACACACACACACACACACACACACACACACACACTCACTCACTCACTCACGTGGCCCCTGCCAGGGGAGCCTAGCGCCTTGCCCCCGTCCCCCGTGCCTGTTCCCAGTTTGTCTCTGTGGCCAGCTGGGCAGAGGCTGGAGTCCTGTGGCGGGCGTGTTTCTTCTCGCGGCAGCCTTGGGCCCCCGGGCGGCTCCAGGCGGCTTGGGACACATCATCGCGGGCAGAAAACCTACCTCCTTCTCTTCCTCCTTTGTCCTCGCCAGCATCCTCCCAGGAGCCTCCCTGTCCCAAAATAGCCGGCTACTGACCGTGCTCTGGCTACATCCTGCAGGCCTGGGACAGGCTGCCAGAGGCCGGCCCTGGTGAGGAGGGTCCCCGTGGTCAGCAGTTCAGGGAGTAAGTGTGGGCGGATTGCACAGCCTCGGGCTTCTCTGGTCAGGAGCAGGGCCTTGGGAACGCAGGTCAGCCCAGCCCGTGGGATTTCCTGGGCCACTTAAGAAGAACACAAAGATCAGAGAAACCCTCCCATCCTCTAAATAACAAAGGAGGAGCTGGACAATCCAGGCCCCAGCCCTGGGAGGAAGCAGCCACTTTAGGCCCTTGGCGCTGGGCTGGGTGGGACCCGGTGGGCCTGGCCGTGTGCAGGGCAGGAGATAAGGGAGCACTCTGGGCTGAGGGACAGAGCAGGGCGGGGCAGGCGGTTTGGTCTGTAGGACAGGACCCCCGGTCAGGGATGGGGGTCAGCGCCCTCTGTAGCCAACTCTAGGGCTGAGCCTAGCTGCTCCCTTCTTAAACTTCAGGGTGTGACCCCCACTGGGGGTGGGGGGCCGGAGCGGGCGGGCAGTGACTGAATGTGGGCGTTAGGAAGATGCCAGCACTGGGGGGAGAGACCAGGGGCCTAAAAGTTATTCCGCATCAGTCGTGTCGTGCCTCGGAGGAGCTCCAGGCCGCACTCGACTGTGTCCTATTTCCCAGGGGCAGGAGTGAAAAGAGCAGCATCGAATTCCACTATGCGTCGATCCCACGTCTTCACTCACGGTCCACGGATCTGTTGTTGGGCATCTACATGGACCCCAAATCTTCCCTTGTGTCCCGAGCGCCGCCATGAATAACGGTGTGCACATGTCCTTTGGAATGCATGTTTTTCTCTCCTGGGGGTAGACATCCAAAAGTGGGATTGCTGAGGGAAGTTGA